GTTTGTCTCTACTAGCACTTGTGTTTTTGTAACTTCTCTGTACACAGATCTGTCTTTCCTGCTCTTGCTGCCTCTTAAACTTTTCCAGGGCAGCTAGCTGCCTTGGCAATCCATGTACTACTTGGGCTCTGAGCCACTAATGGCTTTGAAGCTTGGGAGTAAAGCCTGGAATGAACAGCTGAAGCGAAACTAAGCCAATGAAATGATCTGATGGAAAGCTGCACTGTTGTCACACTTAGCTTCAGAGACTAGGAATTTCAAAAGTTTAGTGAGAAGGTGGCAAACAGATGGATTGCTGTGGCTGGGCAGTTATCTCTTTGGTGTGGGAAAGCAGGAGTACCTTGGCCGTCTTCCCACAGTGGGGATATTCTCTTTCAAACTTCTTGATATTATTTGGAAGGTATCATTCTAACTTTCTCTGTTCTTACAGCATGGATGGAGGACAAAAAACCCCCACTTGACTCATTTTGGGTCATCATTTACTTTTGGTGCATTTTTACAGGTCTATCAATAAAACCTCAAACTGATGTTATAGCTGACCTTGAGATCATGGGCTCTTGCCATTAATACTGAGGAAAAGGTTGCAGTTGGAGGAAAAACAGAGTACTGTGGTGAAAAGGTGACTAATCTTCTGGCATGAGCCAAGACAAGTGATCTCTTATTTAACAAAAAAACTGAAATGTGAATCTGGAACAGCTGCCAGGTATAATGCATGCGTTACATGCAACTTGCTTCCCCCTGTGTGCCTTGAAGATTGGGGAAAGAGGGAGAGCAGTAGTCATATCCATGTATTATTTGATATCTTGTACCTCTCAGAATGTTGATAAAAATGCTTAGACCTTACTTTAAGGTCTTTTACACCCCAAACATGGTAGCAGGAAATACTCTTCCCTTAACTAATGGTTTGTAAGCAGTCTGTAACAGTGGAGCTGATGTGACAGATTTGTTTCTTATCGTATGACACAGCCTAATGAGTTGTTTTTTTTTTTTTTTTTCTTGGTCTGCCTATCTGGAACTTAAACACACATTGAGAAGCTCTCTAAATTTGCTTCAGCTTATTGTTAACTCCTTTAAAGCCAATTAGATGATTTTTTAAAAATTAATAAAAGTTTGTTTTGTCTGTGTTCGTCACATCTGTATGGTGCTCTGCAGTGGTCTTTTTAAGACCCGTTTCAAGAAAGGATATGCTTCCATATAACAGTCTTCAGCTGTGCTAGGCTGCTGTCATGATCTAAATTTATATTTTAATGGGGAACTTCATTGTGTAACAACTTCAAAGGATATCTTCACTGTGAAGCTGACATATGGGGAGTCAGAAACATAAGTATATGATACTTCTTACAGAGACACTCGCGATGAAAGGACTGACCTTGAACTGCTTAGGGAAGAAAGAAGAAGCGTATGAATTTGTTCGTAAAGGACTTCGTAATGATGTAAAGAGTCATGTCTGTATCCTTTGCAGTACAAAACGTGATCTTTTTGCTATGACACACTGTTGATGGAAATCTGAGATGGTGAGATTGACAAAGACTTCTGATGCACAGAAATGCTAAGATTTCTCTTTGCCAGTGAATAAAGTGGAGTCTCTGTAAAGTGTGGAGTCTAATTGAGGTTACAGATAGGCAAGAGAGAAAAAGGAGAACTTGTACACCAATTGTATTCCTAGAATGAAACACTTCTGTAAGTAAGAATTTGTTCTGTAATTGCAGTAACATATTTTAAACAATAAATCTCCAGGAATAACACTTAAAGTCTTATGAAGTTTGGATAATTTAATTTGTATAACAATGCTCAAGGGGGTTATGAATGTGACAACAAATTATTTGGAGGCATTTAATATTTTCAAATATGTCAATAAAGCCTGGCTGCAGTCATCAAACTGCATTTATAGTGGTGCTGATCTTCAAGGAAAATGTCAAGTTGTTCAGACTGTAACACAAATGCATAGCAGTTACTTTGTGAAAATTGTAAATGTATCTTCCTTAATGTGCATTAGGTTGGCACGTCTATGGTCTTTTGCAGCGTTCAGATAAGAAATATGATGAAGCCATCAAGTGTTACCGGAATGCACTCAAACTAGATAAAGATAATCTGCAGATCTTGAGAGATCTTTCTCTGTTGCAGATTCAGATGAGGGATTTAGAAGGATATAGAGTAAGTATTCTCTTTGAATTATTATTTATTGCTGCTATTTATAGCCCTCCCTTGTTGTTCTGTTCTATTATGAAGTCTTTTATTGTTGCTCCTTTTTTCTGTTTCAAAAGTGTTTTAAGCTATTGTTTAGGAAAGCATGAAAACATACTGCAGCAGAGCTCCATATAATGTTGAGAGCAGAACTGGAAATAGTTGTTCTGTGAATTTGACTTGTGGATCACCTTGTAAGACTAGTTTTCAACTCATTTTTCACAAAATAATTAAAAAGGGATGAGACTTTGATTAGCAAATAGGAGTACTTGCAGTGCTAATATGAAATTCTGCAAAGGGTGTTTTGGGTGCATATGCTGAGGTGGTTTTTGTGAAAAATATACTATCATGTTTCTTCTGAGCATGTGGGTAACTTGGCCCTTGATGACTGATTTCTTGAATGCCAATGCTGATTATTTTCATAACTAAAATGCTAATATTTGTCTAAAAACAGAGTTAGTAGTTTCAAAATAGCTGATTTGGCTGTTTCATGTGAAGTAGAGGACTGGACTCTGGGCTTGGCATTAGCTGGTCACCTTACTGAGGATGTTGAATTTGCTAATGCAAAGGGAAGAGGGAATAGCTGACTTAAGGATATGATTTGACTCAGGAAAAGATTCTGAGAAGTGCCGCAGCAGTATGAGGACCGTATGCCTAGGCATAAGGAGAGTGGGACTGCTCTTTCAGTGGCAGTGAGCTCGTGCTTTCTAATGGAAACTGCTCTCTGAGATTTCAGTGCTCTATTTCTGGAAATAATTTAGGCCCTTAAGAGTTGTTCCTTAAAGTGACACCTTTTATATAATTTTTTGTCCCAACAAATAAGAGTTTATGCTTTGTGCCACAACTCTTATATTTAGAATGTAGCCCCTGGATTTATAAGACAGAAACTTGCTGCTTTTCCCCATGCTGTTAGAATTTTAAAAGTTCCCTAGGGCTTTTAAAGGTTCTTTTGAAATATTAGCTGTACTGGTGGTAAATCATGATGAATGTGGAGTAACTCTGTTTAGACATCTCTTGTTTTAAAATTGCTTTTCCTTTACTGAAGGAGACAAGATACCAACTGCTTCAACTGCGCCCCACACAACGGGCTTCGTGGATTGGATATGCCATTGCATACCACTTACTAAAAGATTATGATATGGCCTTAAAATTACTTGAAGAGTTTAGGAAAACCCAGCAGGTAAGAATTCCTGTTCTGGAAAGAACACTTTTTGTTTAAGTGAATCAGTGTGTAATCAGAATCTGAGGAATTATTTATTCATAATTAGAAATCAGTTATGATTTAGGAAGCAGGTTTTTATTTGTGGAGCTTTCTGCTTTGAGCAGCAAGATTTCCAGGAGCTTAGCAGCTGACATAATTATACAGGGATACTGTTCCTCCCTTTCAATAGATTGTTAGGGTTGAAGATACAGGAGTAGTCTCATGTGGAGTAACTGAGTAACTCAATGCTTGTGAGGCTTATAGCTAAAGAAAACCTGTGATGATGCTGCCCCTTTACAGTAGGTGAAACTACAGAAAATACTGTTTAATATTGGATGTGCTCATTTGCCCTTTCTCTTACCATAGTCTGGATGCTGTTACATCTCTGGAAAGGATATGAAAAACTTTCATTGGTTTGTATGCATCTATATATAACACACTTTAAAACCAGTATTTGCTTTCAAGGCAACATGAAAGTGTAGCTGAAAATACTTTGAACAAGTTTGGTGTTACTGGAACTTGGAGTAAATCAAGTGGTACAAATGCTAAAGTCACTGAGTATAACCTTTTTTTAAGGGAGAGATTATTCCCTTGTTATGTTACTGCTAATGCAGAGCTATGCAGTCTGAATTAGTAGAACAGAGTGAAGGGGTTGATTATTCTGTAACATGGAAAGAAAAAAATGTGTTTATAGATACATTCAGCTGGCAGGGCATCCTGGAAACCTTTTATAAAAATCCTGAGGTGTTACCTAATCTATAGATGGAGATTTTTGTTCTGAAAAACCCACATATCCTTTCTGAGTTGTTATACGTTGAATTAACTGTAAGAAAGTAAATTGCCAGAAGAGACTAGTGTTTGTCCTAATCAGATATTGTGGTCCAAGAAAGGATGTTGCAAGCTAGGTGTATATAGCTTGAAATTTCAGAAGAGCTATAACTTCAGTGTTGAGTAAACCCTGAAAGCAATAAGTTTAAATCAAAATTGGATCATCTATTATGAGCTGTTGACAACCAGAAAGTTCTTAAATGAGTCAGCAGAGCCCAATCTGAGTTTAGTGTCGAAATGACTTTTTGAATTAGAATATATAATAGATGGAAGAACTGCAGATGTAGTGTGAGAAACTGAAGTTCTTTCAAGGACTAAGAGGGCTTAATACTGGTATTTGGTCCATTGAAGAAAACAGAAGTGACACTGTTAGTGTTGTTGTCTTTTTTCAAAGATAGTGTGTGAATATGCTTGTTTGGGGGCAGTCATGATACACTGTTCAGTTTACTGTCTAAGCAGATTTAAATACCATCTGCTATAGATGAACATTTTAAATCAGTTGAGTGTGCTGTGTAAGTTACCACAATCTCAAATCTCACCCTAAAACAAAGAAATCCTTAGAAGATCTCAAGCTGTCATGCCATTTTCTGATGAAGCTGGAGATGCTTGGGAATTCCCATAAATAGGAAGATTGCTTATACATGAACAATGAGCTGGTTTAATTGTTGATTAGCATCATATCAGACATAGTCAAGTAGTAGAAAAACTTAAGCACTGAAGGACAGAAGTACACTACAAGTGTTGGACAACATAGTTTTATAGAAAATTAGTCCTGTCAAGCTTTCCTCTTTATTTAGATTGGTAGAGACAGTCAAGTGATAAACTTAGCTGTCTAAACACTAAAAATACATATGAACACATTAGTTTGATTTCTTTTGAAAACAGTCTTATGGTTTGCTGTGCCAGCTCCCTAACGAGTGCAGGCCCATATAGAACCCCAAATACTGGAAGAGAGAATCAATGTGTTGGGTCCAGAGCAGTGAGGAGAGGCCAGACAAACCCACAGCTCAATTTTGCCACACTTTGGCTTTTCTAGGATAGTCCCCAAATGTACTGGTTTTTCAGTGTCTGGACATTTCAGTCATTTAAGTCCAGGATACTTCATTGATCTTTCAGGTGTTACACTTCTTGCTTACTTTACTTCCCAGATCTGCCCTCTTGCCCTGTACTTTGTATGCACTCAACTCAGTAGATGATCTTGTGACTGACTTCATAGACTGTTGTATGTAACTGTAATAAAAGGGTGGTGGCGTTCAAGGTTTAAAAGGATGGTTGAAAGACTGAAGGGTAGTGAGTGGGAGTCTTCAGCAAACCGATGTTTTTGAGGAGTTTTATGGCATTTTGTATTAAGCCTGGTACTGTTTACCAATCATGTTAATGAATAGAGAAGAAAATGTAACATGCTATATAAAATGCTGCTGTCATAGTAATTGGTAAATAATGGTGATGTACAGTGATGGTATTTATTTACTTGAATTACTCAGACAGCTGTGTCCATTCATATGTGAATTGAAACAGCCAAAGCCAAGCAGTAAAAGTAAGAAAGAAAAACCTCAAGGAACTGTCATTTTAGTGATTGTGGGTAAATATCTGAAGATGCAGTATTACAAAATAATGGAGCTACTCTAGCTACAAACTCTTGCCAAAACCAGCAGTCTGACTTTTTCCTGTGTGCTTGCACTGCTTCCTTGTGCAGCACTGGTTGACTTGTGGAGGGCTGGTTCAGGAGTCAGAGTGACAGGAAAATAATCACTCTTTTGAAGGATTGATTGGCTGAACCGAACAACTATGAGGTGAGAGGGGAAGGAAGAAGGGGAATAATAGAGGGAAGTGAACTGCCTTTGTTGATCCAGGCTGCAGTTAGAATGACTTAACTTATTGCAAAATTGTCTCTCGGGGCAAGCTTATGGGTGAAAGCAAAATATATCCTTATTTCTGAGAAGCAGGGATTTTCTCTGTAAAGCATGGATTACTGAGAGATCAAGACTTACTGATGAGCCTGTTGTCAAAAAGTTAGAAAATGAAAAGAACAATATGGCAAGATAAGAGGACTAGAGAAAAAGCTATTTGTGAAGGGCAGAGGTTGTCTTTGGTTACTCTAAGCAGAAAAAACCTAGGTGATTTTAGTACAGATTGGATGCTGAGTTTGGCAAGAAAGACAGGAAGCTTTCCTGGCAGGGCAGATGGAGTAGTGTAAGGAAGTTGATTAACAAATTGAAGTGATAAATTGCTTCTTATCATGGACAATTATATTCTAGTGGCTGAGTTATTACTGGAAATGGTGAATTTTCTGTCTCTTAATATCAATGTTGCCTGTCATCTGAAAGCTCTAAGTTGGCCAGATGCACAAAAAAGGGTTATGAGGTTGAAGGCAGATATCACTGCAGGAAGTGTAGCAGCTTGTGCTGTCCCACGTTAAATCAAGTGACTTAAGAGTCACTTCAGAATTTAAATTTTGGGAACCAAGGTGTAAAACAACTATGAAATTTGTTTTACTGTTGTATGTCCCATTTTTTCCTTTCTTCTTTTCCAGAACAAAATTTTTATTCTTAATTTTTATTTTATTCCTAATTTCTGCATCAGGCCCACAAATACAGATATGGACAGAAAACCTCTGGAGTTTTGGGGGTCTGCTCTTAGGTATGTTTTGGCTACATCTTGTCACATTCTTTCAGTGACAACTGTGTTAGGGCATCTACAGATGTAAAGTTGACTCTTCTTTGGTCCAGGAGGAGAGGAAGAAATTTATTCTGAAATGGCAGAATTGAATTCAAGTTGGACATCTGTGCAAAAATCATAACTCTTCCGGGGGAAGGGGGGAGGAGTAAAGTTGTGTTGTGCAGCAGTAACAATGACGTGGACAAAACTCTTTGTAGAATATCCTAATCTTTATAAGACAATCTGATTATTCAGAGTAAGTATTGGGGCTATTAGCTGCTTACCTTCTGATGAATTACACATTTAAGCCGTCATTAACCTGATGAGATTTCAAAATTTCTTCAAAAACAGGCTTTTCTTAAAGTTATTTTTAAAAATAGCTTTTTAAATGAAGTGATAGTAAGTGTAGTATCTTCCTATTACATTTGTTCTGTGTTTAAGAAGGAGGTAATTTGATTTTTTTTTTTAACATTTGATCTTTTTGTTATTCCTGCTGAGCAAGAACAGCTATGAGGAGGTCGATTTAAAAGTGCTTCTCATGTCTTGTATATATTTATGGGTTTTGGATTATCTGCATTTTGAAGGCCTAAAACCAATTCATGATATGCTAAAAAGCTGTGCTGCTTGTGGAATTCAGAATTTAGATGTGTATTGTATTGGAAGAAATGATATTTTTAGAGGGGAGGAGAAGGTGAAAGAACTAAATTGGTGCTCTGCAGTTTTGTTCTGTGGCGCTGCAGAGTAAAGGTAAGCAAGAAGACATGCTTAAATGCTTAACCCCTGTTCCAGGTGTCAGTTCTGTGAAGCAGCTTAAAAAATGCTTTCACAGTAACAATGTTTTTTAGTGATTTCCAGTGGGTAATAAAAATTGAGCAAAGATAGAAACAGAAATGAAGCTGTAGATAGAGGAAATACACTTTAAGAAGCAGGTAGAATTTCATGCTACCTACTTGCTGGTATGTGCAAGGTATAGTCTTGTTCCACTAGCTATCACTTGCTATGCTGTATTAGCTTCTAAAAAATAAGTACTTGAATTATGTTAAGCCCCCAAACCCATGTTCATTGTCAGATATAGACATCTTTACAATATTTTATTTAGTTATGCTATCTTTCAGAACATTTGTATGTAAAGGCAAATATTTCTAAAAATGCCCAATACTGTAAAGTTGCCTCTCAAAATTTGAAGAGCATATATTCAAAAATGATAAATCCTATAAAATGAATTTGTGCCTAGGGGAGGGCTGGAAGTAATGGTTTAGAACACTATCCTTAATGAGAGTGTTCCTTTCAGCCAGTTTAATGTTTTGGCTTTTTTTAATTTTGTTTTTGTTTATTAAATTACTTGGCTCTGTGAAGGCAGGAAAAGCTTTATTCAGGGAACAGAAGAGTAATAGTAAACTGTTCATGACCAATGTGACTTCAAAGTGCTGCTTGCACAGGAAGAAACAAAGTATGTAGTATCATGGGAAAGAATGTCATTAATGTTTGTCAGACTTGGCAGCTTCTTACTTATTTTTTATGTAAAAAATCATGTAAGTTTATAATTGTCTCCTCCTGCAATTTCTATTGAGACAGTTCATTTCATACAGTAAACTGTTGTATTTTGCTGCTGGGCATTGTCTGGAGACCTCTGAAATTCTTGCAATTTACTTACTGTTGGAGTAGTTTTTGAGTATATTAGTGAAGAGCATTTAGTATGAAAAAAATATTATAACTCTGGCAAGACTTTTCATTGCCTAAATACATTTTAAGGAGTTAATCCCTGAAAGGAATGATTTTGAATGTCACCTTGCTTCATTGTCTGTTGTATCACTTCTAGGTGGATGAGCCACTAGTTTTACTACAGCCTATAGAAAGTCCTAGGTATGCAACTGAGAGCAGACCTCAAAATAATTATCTGTTGCTTGAAAACACTGCGTGCTTGTGCACTGTACTTTCTGGGGGATTGAAGTATAGTACGGAGAACACTGGGTTAGAAAGGAATAGTGTAAATTTTCTATCTGAAAAATTCCTGTTGTCAAGCTGTGGGCACTGTTTGGATGGTTTGTTGCCTTTGGAAATAGTTTGATCCAGAATTTTGGTATGCTGAAAATAATATTGTGATATCCCAGCCGTGTGCTGTAGAGCTTAAGTCAAAAATGTTGTGGAGTCCTTTAGAAAGAAAATACTATGAAGATCTTTGCTTTCTCTCATACAATTCAATAACATTTCTGAGATTTCAGTTTTTAATTATCATAGTGATAAAGAAAAGAGAAATAAAGGATTTATTCTGGACTTTTATCTGACAAGGGATATCCTGAATGAATCTGATTTGATTGTGAGTAATGGGAGTTTGACATTTTGAATGTTTAGGTGGGTATATAAGTAGACCTCATACATTCCATAGGCTAAATTTTGTTCAGTAATTTTGCATACATTGTGAGGTACAGGTAAATGCTAACTAACATGGTTTTTTTCCCCTCAGGTTCCTCCTAATAAAATAGATTATGAATATAGTGAACTGATTTTATATCAAAATCAAGTGATGAGAGAGGCGGATCTTTTTCAGGAGTCTTTAGAACATATAGAGACATATGAAAAGCAAATATGTGATAAATTAATAGTAGAAGAAATCAAAGGTAAGTCATTATTTTTCCCTGAGCTAATTTTGTTGTATATTTTTGCTAATGGCTTTCAGATATAATAAAGCAGTAAAAGAAAAAAACAAACAAACAAACCACAAAACATGTGAAATCTTTAATATATTTGGAACAATTACTGTAGGGAAAGTGGCACTAGGTCATTTAACTTGGGATGAAACAGGAGTAGAGGTGATCTCAGAGATTATTATATTGGTAGCTACTAGAATAGCTTTCCATAAATCAAGACTATTATAACCCAGTTTTAATCTTATGAAAAAGAATTTCATAAAGAATACTGTTTGAAGTACAGACACTGATTATTTTTCTTTCTTTCGACTGATGTATCAAATTCTTGTTTCCTTTTTAAGCTTTTTTAATGCACTTATTTGTATTGCCCTATCTAAGTAAATACTGAAGCTGACTTTTTTGGTTAAAAATAACTCACAGTAATTTTGTGGATTTGAAGTACTACTAACTTATTCTGAATATGTGCAAGTAGTGGCATATGTTCTTCAGCTACTCCTTGCTTGCACAGTTGTGGTGGGTTGACCCTGGCCAGTGGCTGAGCCCCCACACAGCTGCTCGTTCACTTTCCCCAGCCTGCCTTGTTGAGTCAGGAGAGGGAATAGGAAGAACAAAGGCAAGAAAACTGGTGCATTGAAATCAAGATATCTTAAGTGATGGAAAGAGGAAAGAAAGAAAAAACCCAATGAACCCCAGACCCTCAACTGATGCAAAGGCTGCTTTGCATCACTTAGACTGCTCGGCTAGTCTCCAAGCAGTGGCCACCTGCCCACTCTTTCCCCTCAATTTTTAATACTATGTAGCATAAAATATCTTTTTGGTCAGTTTGGGTCCTCTGTCCAGGTTATTTACAATTCCAGCTTATTGTCCATCCTGGCCTACTTGCTGAGAGGCAGGGTAGAGGTAAAAAGACAAAGCCTTGATGGTCTAAGTACGGCTTAGAATAGTGAAAAACATTGGTGTGTCACCAACATCTAGTCACAAATAGAAAAACGCAGTGCAATATGAGCTGCTGTAGAGAAAATTGATTTCATGGAAGCTAGATCTGGTAGAACCACTTACTTATTAAGCAAACCAGTGTGATTTAACTGGTTAAAAACTGGTTAGTTGGTGTGAAAAATACAGATGCCCTTAATTAAATAGCTTGGTGGAAACTGATATAGTCATGTATTAGAGTCCTAGAAGAAAGAGTTTCTTGTTCTTTTGATAATCATAGTAAGTATTTTAAATACTCACATATAGATCTTCAAATAATCTTTTTCACAGATCATGAATGTTCCAAGCTCTGAGCTCTGTGTGGTAGCTTCAAGTAACACTTGTAACATACAGCAAATGCCTTTGGAAAAATAAAGCCTCTTTTTAAGTATCTGTGTATGATTAAGCCTAATTTTATGTATCTAGTATTCTGTTCTTTACTTGCAAGTGTTTTCTCATGTAATTCATAGCTCTTTACTGCATTGCCTTTAGGAGAGATGTTACTGAAGTTGGGAAGACTGAAAGAAGCTGGTGAAGTATACAAAGAGTTAATTGAGCGTAATGCAGAAAACTGGTGTTATTATGAAGGCTTGGAAAAGGCCCTACAACCTAGTAAGTTTAGCTACACAGATAAAATAAAAATACATATGATATAGGGTATACTTCTTACTCCTGTTTGATATGTTACTGCTTTAGATTAGAAAGTTGTATTTGCGAGAAAATTATGTATCTTCTGATCTTGAATATTATGCAGTGTGTTCATTTTTAAAATGTTCACTGAGAAACCTCTATGCATGAAAATACCACAACAAGTATTTATGTTCTTGGAGTTAAGAGTGGCATTTACTAACATGCTTGCATGAAGAACATTTCCTTGCCACATGTGAACTTGGAAACCAAATGGCAATTCTTGTCTAGTAGTTGAATGTCAGACTGCTATCATATATACAACGTAGAATTGCTATTTTGAGATTTGTTTAGGTGTTACCTCTTTCTAGGGACATGGAGAGAAAGACTGAAATACTTATTTCTAAATGGCCTTTTAAAGGTAGACCATCTGGAAAAAAATTCCTTTGGAGGTAAAGGTGATAAATATGTTAAAACCTTTTTTTACTCCAATGCCAGTTCAGATTATTGCTGTTGTGTTTTTCCAGGAAAATCAGCTAATTTTTAAAAATTACAGTGTTGCAACTAGTTATACTGTACTAAGTGATAACTTTGAGTGTTTACCTTTACACAGGAATAATTTCTTTGTATTTAATTTTTTCACTAATTAGTGAAAATTTATTGGAGTTATTCTGATGACATCATAAATCATAAGCCCACAGTTACATTATTTGTAGATATTTTAGCTGCATTAGATTTCTCAACCAGCTTTCTTCTAGGAAGTTTAACAGTTGGGTCTCATGAAGTTTGGGAATATGGCTGGTAATTGAGTAATGAAAAGGATTGCATTTGTTACACATAGGCAGAGTATAGTCTTGCCTTTTGAATGGTTCTCCTAGTATATCCGTAGAGTTGAATTCTATGATTAGTATCTCAGAAAATAAATTACCCAGGAACTTGATTATTCTGTCTGATAGAATGTGTTGAAAGAATGTAGTTTTTAACAAAGAACCAGTCCAGTAGTTTTTGACATATTAAAATCCTATGTAGACTAAAACGGTACTAATTCTATAAAACTAATAATACAACTTTATTTTTTAGGTGGTCTTAGGACTATTTCCTCCCCCATGGTAAGTTCTGGAGCTCCAACTTGTGACTTCAATTAGGGCTTTTATATGCTTTAGTTCCAATCCAAATATTATTTTAGTTCAACTTTTATAACTCTACATCTCTTGGAGACACTGGGTAATAGATTCCCCCCCCTTCCCCAACATTTGAGCTCAGTGACAAGATAAATTGTTTTTCATATAAAAGAAAAACAGATATATTTATTATATATGTATTGTAGTCTTAATCTGTACATTCAGTTTTAAATTGCTTGATGAATTTACTATTTAAGCAAAATTGATCTTAATTATAATAAAGTGGCATTTTAAAGCAACAGATTAGTTTTATTTAAGTTCTAACCACATTGGAGCTCCAAAGCATATTATGGGGGAAAGGGGAGGAGTGGGAAGAAAATCTTTAAGTAGCTTTATTTTTGTTAAACATTAAGATATAAAGAGTTCTGGTACTCGTTACTTACACTGGCAGTATTGTACTCTGGTTTTGCTGTCACCAGAGGACCTATAATAGAGGCATGCTTGTATAGTATGCTGTTTGTTTACCTAAGATTTAAAGTGCAGTATATTTCTCTGAATGCTTTAAGTACGTCTGAAATGAGTGCACAGTAAAAAGAAACATGAATTGAAGCAATGAATGTTGTGCACTGTGTGAAGGGGTCTGCACAGCACGTAACTGAAAGAAAGCACACAGTACTGCGTGTTTGAATGTGCAAGGTAATGGTCCTGTTTGTAGTTTACCTCTAGAGTGATTTAATGCTGGTAGTTTTGTATTGTATATACAGTGTGTTCTCAGTACAGTTTTATACAGTAATGTTTGTGATTAACTGGAAAAAAAAATGTTTAAATTGTTTCAAACCCAAACCAAATATGGGCTCTAGCTAAATTAATTCTCAACACAACACTTAAAGACATTTGAAAGAATAGGTTTTTATGTCTGTTACTTATATCTATTATATTTGCTGATAATAGGCACTTTAGAAGAGAGGCTTCAGATTTATGAAGAAGTTAGTAAAAGACATCCCAGAGCAGTTTCACCTAGAAGATTACCTTTAAACTTTGTTTCAGGTAACAAGTTGCATATCTGTTCTGTAATAGTTTTTTTCTTATTTTTCTTCTGAAGTTTTCATCAGGCTGTTTTATGTTCATTTAATACCTTCTTGTGCATTTAATACTTACTTGAACATGTACACAAGTCAGATGTATGCATTTCTCTTGGAAAAGACAAAATTTTGTACGTTTTAGGCATTGATAGAAAAACGTCCCGCGCTCGAATATGATGATACGAATTATGTAACTTTGTATTGATAAAACTACAGTACAGAATGGTATGTAGATTTTAGGAAACCTTGTACGTAATTTTTATGCAGCATACAAATTAAGGCTCAGGAGTTAAAAAGTAGAGGGTACACTACACTTGAATTAAAGGTATAAGTGTGTGTATGTGCATACCCACTACTGTGTTTTTAAAACACAGTTTGGTGTACAAATGTACACTTACTGTGTTCTACTTTGCTGTACAGCCATTAGAACTTAATTCTACAATGAAATCTATTTGTGCTGATAATAAGAAAAGGGAAAAAAAGCAGGTCTGCAGTATTATATAAAACAAATTATTTAATTTTATAGTTAAGTTCTTTCAGTGTCTCAGTCCTTTCAAAAGTTATTTTGAAATACAGTGCACAAGTATTCTCAGTTCTGGAAGGAAAATATATACTTTTTAAAATGGAAAGCTATGATCTTCCAAAATAGGAGGAAGGAGACTAAATGAAATGGTCAACACCATAAAAATATACACTTAACATGTAGCTAACTGCTGAAACTCCAGTGGAAGACTTTTGGAAAGAAATATAAAGTACATAAGCTAGATATCAAGTGTCAAGAAGTTTGTGTACAGCTGCAAGTTCCCAACATAGCTCATGCTTTTAAGTTTGAGGTTAGTTTTTAGTTTAGCGCCTTTACTGAATACTGTGTGTGTTGGTACCTTTAAATGTTACAGAGTACAGCTACTCCACTGTCCTGTTGTTGCTCACGAGTCTGAATGTGCATACAGGTTTCTTGTGTAAAAACGCAAGATTTTAACTGCTTTGTGAGAAGTTACCCCTTGTGCCTTTTATAATCCTGTGTACTTCAGTTTCTTTGAATATACAAGGGCTGATTTTAAGGCATTTCAGCTAGATTTGAAAAGCTAGGTGACAGTAATTGGTTTTCTCTTGTAATAGGATTGTTATGGTAACACATAGCAAACAAGGAAATAGCCTGCAAAATGTTTTCTTATATCTTTATTAATAGTGTGTTTTGCTGTTGATTTCACTGTTTGTGTTGGTCTAGGTTACCTTGTATCTTACAGTGTAGTTTCACAGCTAATGTTTATTGAAGCAGAAATATGTATAGTAACAAGGATTAGTTGCTCATGCTGTAGCAATAGGCTAAATGAAAGCAAAATTTATTACTAGATTGGTAAAAAAAAGAAAATTTCTTGGCTACTTTCTGCAACATTTCATAATGAACAAGAATTTTCCTAAGTTGAAACTTGTTTCTATTAACTTTTTGATTAAGTTTTTATGAAGCATGAATATATAAGACTGTTTTTGATCCCATAGAAATTAATCTGTTTAGTAAATGATCTCCTGTAAGTATTTATAAGTACAGGAGACAAGAATTTCTATAGCTGAAAGTTAATAGTGGGAATATGAAGGTGCAGAAAGAAACTTATTTGCAGAAAAATATTTGCAAATTTCAAGACAGTAGAATCTCTAGCTAGTTCCAGTGTGGTCACCAACCAGCTGCAACCATCCCTGATTCAGATTTAATTTACATTAAAGAATTAAAATACTCTAAAGTGCAGGCTTATATTAAAAGGTCAGTCCTTGCCCAGACCTTGCCATTGCCATCTTAATAGCCCTGAATTTGATACAAATCAGCTCCTTGATCCAGCTGGAAACCACTTTTGTGGAGGAAGGCTGTTCCAATCAATTTTCAGACTGATAAGTGTGTGTGTGGCCATGCAGTTTTAGCTTTGTTTATGCTGCTATGGATTCATGGCTGCTGTGGTCAGGTTTGTACCTCAGAGACTTAATAGTGAGTTTGGCTTCTTGTTGTAGGTGGATGCCCCGCTGTGTACTTTATTTTTTTTCCAGATTTTGTTTTAAAGATGTTCTGTCTTCTGTAAATAAATAAGTACTTAATGGAAAGTTGAGTCTTGCATTCCTAGATTCTCAATTGTAATTCTTACAACAAGAAAATAAATTAGAAGAATTCGACAGGAGAAACTGGGATATATTTTTTTTGTTACATAGGGGAGTTTCTGTAGTGTGTGAGAACCATGTTTTAATTAATCCATCTGTAATAAAGCACGTGCTTACAGTCCAGTTATGGATCCCCATCCACAGGTAGTAAGAGTTTCTATATACAGCAGTTTATTTTAGTACAGCGAGGTGAGAACATGAGTTACCTTTATTAGTCTCAGTGTTAGCAACAGTGCTGATAACAGTAAGTGTAGGACAATTAAGTAGTGATGGAAGTAAATAAGAATGTTACATACAAAGCAGTAGTGTCTGCATTTTCTGCATAGCCATGAAACAATCTAATTATCACGTTTTTAATGTATTTGTAACGAATTGAAGCTTATTTCGACAGTTTTATGTGTCTGTGTTAGCATTATGTGAAGTGTAATGCTTCCTTGTTTAAAGAGTTAGAGAAGTCCACAACTGAATAGGCACTGAAATGTAGCAACTTCATCCCAATGCAAAGCAAAGTCAATAAAAAATACTAATTTAAAAAATGCCAAACAACCAAACAACAACAAATCCCCAAACAAAACAACTGCAACTGAAAACAATCACTTTTCATCATGGAAAAAAGAACACGAAAGCCAGCTGTCTCCCTGTCTTTTTTTTTTAGTTCTTTTTTTTTTTTTTTTTTAGCAGCATTTCTCAGAAAGATGGCACATATTGCAAGTATTGTAATTTTTACCTGAAAATATAATTAAATTTGATTTTTAGGTTTTTCTAGTATATTTTGATAGCGATGATTCTGATACAGAACTTCTGGTTCTGAAACAGTAAATCTTCTTTTCTGATTCCAGAAACAATCATATCACAAGTTATGTCCTACTCGTGAAAAATAGGACCAGAAGGGAGGCAGAGGGTTAATTTCATCAGTCCTTCTCCCTCAAATTAGTTTATATCTGCACAGCTCCTAACACATTTGTCTAACTTAATCGTAAAAAAGTCTAGTGATGGAGCTTTTACAAGATCCCCATTGTTATTCTTAACATTGTAGTTTTTTCCAAAATTTTTTTAAATAACCCTTGCTACGTTCTCGGTAGCCAGCACTTAATATTTTCTCTATTAAATAGACTTCAGAGGTTTGAGGACTCTTACCATATCTGCCAGCACACTCCTAAACACCTAAACATTAGCAGTTTAAGTGTTTCACTCTGATTTTTATTTTTTTTTTAAGTCTGGAGTATATTTGTGTCTTATTAAAGAACAGGAAAGATGAAAACCCTTAATTGCAGTTTCTCAGTTACTCTGTTATCCAGAGTAGCACAGCAGTTAGTGCGTATATTTATATAACAATTGCAATCACTGACATATAACCAAACACACTTTTGTTTCTAGGTGAAAAATTTAGAGAACTAACGGATAAGTTCCTGAGGGTTAACTTCAGTAAAGGCTGCCCACCCTTGTTTACCACTTTGAAATCTTTATATTACAATCCAGAAAAGGTAAAATTTAGTATTTATTTGGTTTTAATGAAGTATTTTATATTGAATTTCTAATAGACTAAGAGGTTTTTTGTAGCTTTTCCTGTAACTTAACAAGTACAGTTGAATGTTTTTCTCCTTAATGTGCTATTTTGTCATAATGTGAATGATCACTTGATGTCAAAATGCTTAAAGTTAAATTGGTGCATAATGCACTGAAGTTCTTAAACTCAGACATAATCATTAGCTTTGTGTACTTTCAAGTGCAAGTGTTACAGGATTCTTTCAACTTATGGTTTATGATGTCACCAGAAGTAATGATTTTAAAATATAACACAGGTGGCTGTTGTTCTACATACATTTCTGAATTGCAGTAATACATTGGTATTTACGACAAAGGTTTGTTCAATCTTGAACTGAAACATCAGTGTATAATCTTTGTATTCTGAGCTCTCTGTTTTGGCAAAATGTATCACATTAGTACTATTGTTTCAAGTGTAGTTGTTCCTTTTAAACTTAACAGTAAGGTACAGTGAAAATATATTTTCAAACTAAAGCATGTTACTAAAATGTGTGGAAAATAAAGATCAGTCTCTTCAGATATTGCTGTCTTTGCTGCAAACAATAAAACTCTTAGGTATTCTAATCCACTCGTGACTAGGTAAGAAGAGAATTTTGTATCTGCAAAAACATGATGTGGCTTTTCAATAAGCAGTGCATGCTCCTCTATTTGGACTGATTGTTCTTGTTTCTAACAGTTTCTTTGCTAGTTGTTCTAACAGGAAATTTTCAGTTCACTTCTGTAATCTCTACTTGCTCTCCATGGTTGATGTAATTTTAGTAAATTCTGGTATTATGTTGTTGTGTTTTAACCTGGACTGGCAACTTAAGTACCATTGCAGCTGCCTGCTCACTCCACCCCTGCCTGGTTGGGGAACAAGTAAACCTCATGGGTTGAAATAGGAACAGTTTAATGCTGAATCAAAACAAACTATAATAAATACCAATGATAATAATAATATTTGTAATTAAAAGGGGAAAGGGAAGAATAAAACTGAAGAGAAATAAGTGATGCACAATCCAATTGCTTTCCATTGCCCAGCCTATCCCTGAGCAGTTACTGGCAGCTCTCAGCCATCTCTCCTCAGTTTATATACTGGACATGATGTTCTATGGTATGGACTATCCTTTTGGCTGGTTCAGGTCACCTGTCCTGACCATGCTCTGTTTTGGCTTCTTGTGCTCCTGCTGAGTCACAGAGCACAGGAACTTGAACAATCCTTGACTTGGAGTAAGCACAACTTAGCAACAACTAAAACACCAATGTGCTGTCAACGTTATTCTCCATAGTAAATCCAAAACACAGCACTGTACTGGCTACTAAGGACAAAATTACCTCTCTCCCAGCTAAATCCAAGGCACACAGGTATTACAAGCTTTTCTGCAGTGCCTATTGCTAATGCATACTTTTCCATTTCAGATGTTTACATTGAATTGATATTCTTTTAAATTGTGATACACTATTTAGATAGAAGTAGAGTCAATGCTGTGCAAGTTTTACTTCTACTATTTGAAATATGAAAAATATAGAAATTTAAAAATACACTCATTTGACATCTGATAAGCTTTTTAGCACTTAATTGGTTTTTGACATGATGGATTAAAAAAATGAGGGCTACCATATTTCAGGATAGACTTATACAGAAGGGTGCCTTTCTGCTAGTTATCTTCATTGTGACAAATTCGTGCTGTTTAAAACTGCCAACTTAATCCTAAAAAGTAATTAAAATCAGGAGCTTCACTGTTTCCAAACGTGCTTGGATTTGTTTGTGCTGCTACCTTCTGCAAAAGCATTTTTATTGTATTTTACATCCTTCCATTACCAAGACAGGTTGTCTTTGACATTTTACTCGGTTGGGTTTGCATATAATTACAGTGTAACAGAAGAACCTTTGAAACTTAGAGAAACATTGATTTTAGTCCCTGACAGTTGATTTTAGAATTGCTAAAATTTAGGGGTTGGCAGCAGAAAATTGTGACAAACTAAAGTGTGCTACACCTTTCAGGAAAACATTATACTGCAGTATCTAATTTGTCTAAGTTGGAGTGTAGTACTAGCTTCTCACATAAATTACTGGTATATTTTGACTGAAAATAAAGATAATTGTAGTCAGGTTCATGTTATGCCTACCAGAAAATACCTAGCAGATTTCTGAATTCTTTACCAGTTGGGAATGAACAGTTCCCCATGGATGTCTTAGGAAACAGGTGCAATTTGGTGTTGTCAACTGCAGTTGCATTTTAAAGTGGCATAGACATGAATGAGGACTTAATGAAAGAGTTGATATTTAAGCCTAGAAAGTTGTTGTGTTTTTTTTTTTTTTTTCTAGAAGTCTGTGTGTGTCCATGATCTTTCACAGAGAGCAAGGAAAAAAGGGTAGTTGTATTGATGGCAAATGTTGGGTCAGATGTGTTCAGGAAAATGTTATTATCTATTTGCTTTAAGTTTGTACTTCATACAAAATGTTTTAAATAAAATTGTTGGCATACTTTGATTTAAAAACATGTTGTAGTCTACTAACATTAGTTTTGGGTGGAATCTAGCTTCAGGTACACAGAGCTGCAAAGCTTTAGGACTTGCCCAGGTCAGTGTGAACACTATTGAGGAAGGGTTTAGAAACTCTTCAGTAGTTAAAACTGCTTAGAAAGACCTGAAATATCAAGGTTATAGATTGGAAGTTATGCTTCGTCTTCCAATACAGACATTGTTGTGATAAACATCTAAACCAGATTTGCTGAAGTGGAAGTAACATCAGAAAACAAGGTGGGAAAAATTCAGATTTTTTTTTTTTTTTCTGTTAAAGGAGTTAAAACTTCAGTTGTGTTTTATGATCAGTCATCAGTGTTTGTGTTTTAGTATGTTAGCATTGACTTGATCAAAGATTCTTTAAACAATTAAGGAGTTTAAAAGGTAAATTGCTCAACAAAAAAGTAATCCACCAAGAATACACCCAGCTAATTTTTAATTTACAAGTTGGCCAAAGTCAGCTTTTTTTGGGGGGGGGGGGGGCTATACTCATTCTTCTTTTGAGAATTGTTTGACAGAATCCTTTTCTGGTGTTGTTTTTACGTGTTTATTAGATTAAGTTATTTTAGGGAAGGTAGAAGTGTCTAGTATGTGTCTGAATTTCTTGTTTGAAATCTTATCTGAGACTTCATTGAAGATCAGTAAACTCTGTCTAAAGGCCCTGAAGACAGAGAAGGTAGTCTTTTTGTTGTTTGAACATTTCTAGGAATAGAGAAAACCCTATAGGATTATCTTTGCGTAGTTGATCATAGGGTATGTTGTCCTTCTGTACATTCCTGCCCTTAGATAATGGTGTTCACTGTATTTGATTAAACCAATAAAGTGTCATTCCTGTATGTTAGGCATAACTTTTGACAAAGTGAAAAATTTAGCATGACTGTCATCCAATAAAAGGATGGCTGAAGTAGTTACCTTTAGCTCTGTTTCATTGGTTATGGTGTTTAGGGGGTAGGTGAGTTATTTTAGACAGGTGTGTTCATATTTCAGAAACTTCGGTGGTTTTTCTCCCAGATTCTCTGGAATATGTTTTTAATAGTCAAGGAATAACATTGTTTCAGATGGGAATTTAGGTCAGAGGCAGTAGAGTACTCTTCAGTTCACCACCATATGTGGTTTCCTATGCTGTCTCAGTTGACAGCTCCCAAGGCTCCTTTTGGCTGTGCTAGGTATGACTGATAGATGTGTTTTGATTGTAGAGGGAGCACAGGCACCTGTATTACAGCTATACAAATATAGATGCCTGAACCTGAAGGTACCTGATGTGCATTCCATCTGTTTCGCTAGGGTGTGTTCGCAACTGCTTATACTTCTTCCCAATGTATCCATTATGTGAGTACTGCATACCTATGGAACTAACACTGAGGAAGCTTTTCCAGTTCTTTCTAGAAAGAGTGAATGCCCCACCAAAAATAAAAGTCAAATCACTGCAGTGCCAACTTGGTGGAAGGAGTGTTATTTTTTCAGCTCCCTAGCTGGAGTTTGTTTACATACTTGTACCCATATTGGTGTGGTGAAGGGTGTGGAGTATAAGTCTCTTTTCATCTCTTCATTGAAGAATATGCCTTACTTTGGTTAAGGAAGAAAGGTATTTTTAATCTTCCTTCACAGATTAAGTAGAACTATTTAAGATGATTTGGATGAAGTCATGGAAGGGTGCCATAAATGGGCAATGTAAAGCTGTTTGTTTCATGGAAAAAAGTAATCTTGAGGTTATTGCTGAAAGAAACTTTCTCTGGGCAATCAAAGGCATCAGGATCTGAAATCTGTTCAGTAAAGATTACATATAGCTTTTTTTGCTTTTTGGCATTCTCTAAGACTTATTTTGAGGTAAAACATGCCTTGATAATAACTATAATGAGTTAAAATATACCTCATGTTGCATTATGCAGTGTATTTGTAATTCTGGAGCAGAAAAAAGTATACATGTTGGCTTTGTGTGCAGTTTGTGATGTGTGGAGGTTTTATTTTTGACTGCTCAACTGGGTTGAAAAGGAATCAAGATCTTGTAACTGTGTGAAACTTGGGTGCTTGAGAAAATAACTGATGCTACTGTGAAATCTGGGATAAGCGGATTATTTGGATGTTTCATCATTGTCAGCAATAGTTACTTTCTAAGAGGAAGCTGTTAATCCATTGATGGTTATGTTAAAGGAGACTTTAAAAGAACTGGAAGCTGATGGGGAGAAAGTGTTAAATTTGCTTTGCTGTAAATTGCTGTACATGCTTCAGAAAGTTTCAGACTTTCTGGTCCATTACTGCCTGCAAATCAGTGATAGGGCTAATGTTTTTCTCCCTAGTTTTAGAAGGGATCTCTCCAATACATGGTTCAATCCTTCAAAGATCTTCAAAAGAGGTTAAAATTCTTCAGGTTTTGCACTGTTATGCTAGTGTGATAAGGAGCATGTGAACTAGTTTGTTTTTTAACTGTCTTTTT